ATACCTGTGTAGAATTAGAACAGATCTGAAGTGGCGTAGCCAGGGTGGAATTTTCTGGAGGGAGGAACAGTCCGTGGTGAATCCACGGACCACCAGCTGGTGTTAGGGGGCATGTTCCTCCTAGAAAATTTTGGAGTTCTAGGGCATGAAAGGCCATTTCCAGCATTCTGATACGGGTTTAATATCAGATAATTATGCAACACGATCTATCTACGCCTTGGGAGTTTTAATTGGACTTGATTGTTGCTAACCTCACTTGACCTCCCCCAATATCTTGTCGGATTTGCACTTTTCATGAGAACGGTCTGAAGACCGTTGGGGGAGGTCCGTCATCTCTCTCCTTGAATAAGCCGTTGCAGTTCTGACATAAATAGCAGACTAATGTCAAGAAAGAGTAAAGTCCAAATCATATAGCTTAAAACGACCTATACCTTTGGACGTGGTGAGTGTTTCGCTTTCAAATGTGTTTTTCCTCTTCCGGCCGTTTTTTTCAAACAATTCTATCTTTACACGATCCATCTATAAATATACACCATACATTATATTTTATTTAAAACATGTGTTTAGACCATATAAATAATGGGATGTAATGAAAAATAAAAAGATATGATTTTCCAATCTTTTCAGAACGAACCATGCGAGTAAATGACGAAACTTGATGAATAATTAAAGCATTAATCATACAGGGGGATTTTTTCTTAATTAGGGGTAAAAATACTGCTGCCTGATTGGCTGATATGCAAGCGCAGAAATTTTCTTGTTTAAATTAGCAATAAACACAACTGAAAAGACCCGGGCTTCTCGCTTTATCGTTGAGAATAATCATTATATTTGAAGAATTAAAAATCTTTTGAGAACTCACACACAACTTACCGTCTTTATCAATGTCTACAATTTTGGATAAATTCTCACTTCCCGTATTTCTTTCTTTCTGTGAATCAGTATCAACTTCTAGAAAAATAATAATTTTTCAAAAAAGACTAAAATACCAAATTTCAAAAAAGACTAAAATACCAAATTATAGAAAAGAGTTTGAAACCAGCAATATTTGTTGTCATACGTGTATGTTAAGAGTTTTGGGGCAAAAATCACTTTGATTGGCGAATTTGTGCGAACTTACCTGCAGATGTCGTGGCAATTTTCGCAGAAGTGAACTGATCCTGCCGTGATGATTGTTGTTCTGAAAAAAGTTATAATATATAAGTACTTTTCAAATTCGTTGCTTTGCACAGGATGTACTACAATTTCGTACAGTAGTTGTACATGACTCTAGAAACATAAACCATTTTTTCAAGTCAGAAGCCATGTGCTGAAGCTATTTTCCTCAATCACCCCTGAGCCAGTGGGAAACTGCTCCCAGTACGCAAGATTTGTGTGTTGAGGGTGTGTACGGAAACAACCACCCAACCATCATTTATTTGATAATCGTGTGCAGACTTTAGGTGGGGCAATACGACCCCAGTGCCAACAATTGTGTTGTCTCTCATCAAAGACAGTAAAAATGAATGAAATGCATTTGTATACTTCTTATGTATTAATTAAATTAAGTGTAAATTCTTCTCGTTCATTATCTATATATAAAACATAACTCAATAAATCAATTATCTCACATGCGATTTTTTGCAATTTTTGTGTACCTAGAAAGACTCAATTCAGTTCACAAAAGTGAGTCGAACGTATCCAATTGCTAAACAGATTATAACTCCTTGATACTAATCAATAGTTTACATCGTTCGTATCCGTCTAGGATATTGGTGCTTTCTAAATACTATAAATTCGGGAACTTTGGGTTTATAAAACGTAAATTATGTCAAATTTTTGCCAGAAAATGTTTAGCTGCAATGACTGTTCAAGTATACTTGGTTTTACCAATTTTCAATTTTATGCAGTGTTTTATAAAAATCGTCTCATGCTCAGTTTATATTACTATGATTTTCTCACCTTTATCTTCAATAAAATATTCTAGCCTGTCATCAGGCCAAGCACTGAAGCTTTCCTCCCCAATGGTCCCTCCACCAGTCGGATAAGCATTCCAGGTTTTCCACAAAAAGGGTTGTAATGTGCACGGCCTTCCAGCCAGTGGTTAGTTGATACCCATGCACTTTCTCGAAGTCCGGCATTACTAAACCTAACCCAACAGTTTCAGTGCCTCTTATCAGGCGTACTATATAAATATAATATATGAGAATAAGACAATAATCCAAACTTACCCACATTCATGAAACCATGGCCCGTTTCAAACATCACGTTTCTCGTGTGGAGAAACGCATCAACCACAACAGATAATGATGATAATGAGACACCTCAGCGGATTAGTTTATACATTGTTTTTAGGCGTTCGGCACGTGAGAAGCGCAACGTTTAAAACAGGCCAAATCTCATGGTCAGGTTCCAAATATTAATGGTATTATCTAATGATACAATAATAATTTTAGAAAATGCACTGGTCGATAGGCATTCCGGTAAAGGCACTAGATAGTTGCTAAAAATAAATAATTTTGGTCGGTGAACGTCTAGCTGATATAATAATACACAATTATGTTAACAGATATATCACAAAAACACAGGTCAAAATTGATGACATTCAGGATGACAAAACTCAATATACCATGGAAAATAGAATTTTACTTTACCAGCATTTGTAGAATTGTGGGTGTCATCACGACTGGAAATCTAAATAGTGATTAATTACAGATTGTTAAAATCCTTAAATAGAAACGTGTGATTTCATTTTTTGAAATGTTCCAATTTTATTCCTTCAATGAAAAGAACATAACATATATGTAGCATGCCTTATCACAGTTTTCCTCAACATTGATCTGCTCTGCCAAGCTACGCTGACATTCGATTTCATTTACAGCCTGTAGATTTAAGAATCCATAATTATTTCATTTCTATGTTTACGTGCGATCCATCGTCAGTGAGAAAAATTTTTAGTGGGGATTTTTCTAATTTTATCTCTCCTGTGAAAAGAACACACGTACCTATTGAATATCAGTCATATCTTATCAAATTTTTCCTTTGCAATCTCCTCATTCATGCCAAAATGAGGACCTTTGTCATTGACATGCTGTACGTTTAGTTAAAAAAGAACCTTTTTCAAATATTGCTGAATAAATAAATTAGACACTACTTTTGAGATCTGAGATTCCACCTCCAGTTTGAAATGTTGTCCCGATGTTTTGAGTTCAAAAATAGTGCACAACAGTTTTTGACTGAAACTTCATGCATAACGTTTACAAAAGCAAGCTAAAATCAGTAGCGCAAAATAAAACAATACATAGGTACTTTTCCATTTTTGACAGGCGTTTCATATGTAAAATATTGGTCGTTTTAATTTGATCGTTTTAATGAAAGGAACAAAACGTAGCATACCTCATCCGATTTTTCCATTATCATCTCCTTTACCATATCAGGTTGAGGCCTTTTTTTGCTGGTAGGCTGTAGATTTTGAACAAATTTCTTAAATATTGTGGTATTAATGATTAATTTTGCTCTTATTTTTGCACAAATAACCTGAACTTTGAAAACATCTTGAAAATCCAATATAACTCCTAAATCGACATGTTATATACATTGAACTTTTGGAATTAACTAAGCTTATTCCTCTACTAATGAAGAAAACATCATATATAGCATACCTTTTCACAGTTTTTCTCAACAATTTTCTCCACTTCATGCATAACGTTTACAAAAGCAAGCTAAAATAAGTAAGCGCAAAATATAACAATGCATAGGTACTTTTCTATTTTTGACAGGCGTTTCATATGTAAAATATTGGCTAATTTGATTGTTTTAATGAAAGGAACAAAACGTAGCATACCGTACCTCATCAGTTTTTTGCGGTATCTTCTCCTTTACCATGTCACGTTGAGGCCTTTTTTTGCTGGTAGGCTGTAGATTTTGGTCAAAGAAACATTTTCTTAAGTATTGTGATATTAATGATTAATTTTGTTCTTATTTTTGCACAAATAATATGAACTTTGGAAACATCTTGAAAATCCACTATACCTCCCATATCGACATGTTATATACATTGAACTTTTGGAATTAACTAAGCTTATTCCTCTAATGAAGAAAACATAACATATAGCATCAGGGCTGCAAATTATTGTCGGACATTGGACAATGTCCGACTAAATTTGGCAAATGTCCAAGCAAAAGTCATTTTGATCGGACATTGGTCTGATCACAAAAAAATTATACTTTTTTTGCTGTGACAAAATCCGATTGCAAATTCACTCAATTTGCATTTTGCAATAAAGTTTACGAAGCATTCTAGCATTTTACTTAACGTTGCGCCGGAATGGCTATATACATGCATACTTGTCTCGTGACTTATATATATCTTGTGACGTATATATGTCTGATCAAAAGGTAGTGATGTTGGTTTTTGTCCGACCAAATTCAAGTTATGTCCGACCAAAATTAAAAGTGATCGGACAAATGTCCTGTGAAGTCAAATATTTATTTGCAGTCCTGTAGCATACTTTATCACAGTTTTTCTCAAAAATCAGCTCCACCAAGCCATGCTGACATTTGATTTCATTTACAGCCTGTAGATTTAAGAATCCGTAATTAGTTCATTTCTATGTTTACGTGCTATCCATCGTGAAAACAATTTTTATTGGGAAATTTTCTAATTTTATTTCTCATGTGAAAAGACCACACGTAACATTTCCACCTCCAATCTGGAATGGCATAGGCAGGATACCTTATCACAGTTTTCCTCAACATTAATCTGCTCCACCAAGCCATGCTGAGATTCGATTTCATTTTCCGCGTGTGGAGTTAGATTTGACAATATATTTTTAAAATGCCATTTCAATCATGAACAACTTTGAGACTTGAGTTAGAGGAAGCGCACTACACTATAAACTGTATCCTGCTTAGTTCAACCTGGAATCTGATTACATTGTTTAACCAAGATGTCCTGGTAAAATTACTGACCAGAATATATTACATTGTAAGGATCTGGTTATTTTAATCATGGTGGCGTA